AAAAGTGAGAAATATCCGATTCACCCGAAGTTCCAGGGTGAACATGGGCTTGGCCTACCCTACTCTCACAATTTACCACCAATTAACACCAACAAAGAACACCAATTACCACGATCCAAAACTAAAACCAGCACACCTCACTCGCAAGTCAATCTCCAATTCCACGGCAGCATCGCCTTCAATAATCGTTGTCGTAGGTAGAACTCGTCGCTTCCTGCCGCGCATAAATCGTCCTACCCCCGTGCGTTCGCGGGGAAACCTGCAGCGGTGTCTACTTAATAATGCATCAAATACCCTAATCCCAAAGAATAACCACCGATATGTTGTACAGTGGCCCCGTTGGATCAGTCCACGGGATAAGGGATAGGGTCTTTAAGCTAGGGCATTAAAAGAGACAGAAAAAAGAATGTGCGGACCGATGTAACAACTGTAACAACACGCAGCTTGTTCTGGATACTTTGGACAGGCCGGGGGTTTAATCTTTCGTGTGATGGGGCGAGAAAGACGGACACAGGGAGAAATGAAAAGAGAGAGAGAAAAAGAGGGGTGGTATCGCGGAAAAGGGAGTCGAAGGAGGTGGAGCAGCTTAAAAAACGATTCCCATTCAGTGTTTCCGTTGGAGGTTAAGCCGTTATTAGTTGGCCCAGGGCTTGCGATCCTCGGTCGGGTAGCTCCTCTTATTGGCTGGCTACGAAAACAACGATAAAAGGCGATGAGTATTTTATGGGGTACACCGGCACAATGGGATCTCGTGTATGGGCCATTGTTCGAGCATTGTCTGGCAGTGCGTGAGGCGAACCTCGTTCTTTCTGCTCCTCTAACGCGCGAGTCTGGCTTCTTGGTCCCCGTTGAGTCCCCGCGACCCTCCATTATTTCACTGTTTTCCAAACACGTCACTTCCCGCCGTGGTTGAATGGGCGTGGCGCGTTAGAAGGGGATGCAAAAAGAACGGTATGTTAAAAATTATCGGAGTGTGTCTACTGTCTCGCCCCTCTTCTTCGTGTTTGTGGGTAGTGTAAACGATTGGCTGGTTGGTTTCTCGTTGCCTCCTGGGCCTATTAACTTGAGTTTATCACTTGAACGACTGAGTGATTTGGGAATTGTGGGGTAAGGGCGAAGTAGATAAGGGATTGGGATTGGAGACCCTTGGGGGTAGGCTGGTGGAGGACTTTTTTGGGGGGAATAGTTAAATAAATTTTATATGTATTCCTTTGATAGTAAGTTATTGTGCCAGTGTTGGTTGTTGGGTGATATTATTATTGGTTTTCTTTCCTGTTGTTATTAATTTTAATATGCGTCTCGGAATAAACTTGTCTCTAGGTTCATTTAAACTGTTACCTCGGTTATTCTTCTAGAAGTCTTTTCGATCTTACTACCGTAGGATCTTTAGATCTTCTTATGACATTTAATTATTACATAAATCACTGAGAACTTGGCTTGTATACCAAGAGATAAGATATTAAGTTAAGCTTCTGTATTTCTGGATTCAAATAGACTGAAATGTTTCTGATATTTCACTATAGTTTAATGAATAATTAGAATTTTTGATGTAAAAAGAGAATAAAAGAAAAAATCAGCGAAAACATGATTGATCATATATTTTTATTTATTCAACGCGTTTGATAAATGCAAAGTGTGCACTATTATTATTATTATTGTTGTTGTTATTGTTGTTATTATTATTATTATTATTATTATTATTGTTGTTGTTGTTGTTGTTGTTGTTGTTGTTGTTGTTGTTGTTGTTGTTGTTGTTGTTGTTGTTGTTGTTGTTGTTGTTGTTGTTGTTGTTGTTGTTGTTGTTATTGTTAATATAATACATTTACTATTACCAAATAACTTCATTACATAATTACTTTCATGAAGTTCTTAAAAAGATTCAGCACAATGAGATTTCTATTAACTTTGCATTCACCCTTACAATTTTATCATGTCTATTTGTTATACTTATTGTATTTGGAGAAACCCATATTCTGTATTTTATTATACTAAAATTCCTATGAATGTTTCCTCTACATTTAGCCAATATTCTGTTACCTTATAGATAGAGTGAATATCACTAAAAAATTATCAATCGTTAAGGATTAAATTTACTTCTAAATCACCCCTTAAAAATAATAATTCATCGCCGGGACCTACGCGTACAATAATTCGAAGAGATCTTGTCACATGTGTAGACTGATTCGAATCCACGGAAGATTAAATATAACCAAGGTGTTCTCACGCACCGAATATCCGAGTATTTACTCTGGAGGTGTTGAAGCGTGCGTCAACAAGAGGTCGGGCTCCGCCTGAAGCTGTTGAGGAGGGTTCAGTCGGGGGTGTCAGCTCGAATTATGCATCGCAAGGAATACAACGATCTGAGCGTCCTGTCGTGCGAAAATCCGGGACCTTGGGCGTTACACAGCAACTTGTTCTTACAAATCGCGTCCAATTTACACTGGATAAAACATTTTGTGGGATCATTCGATTTTGAGTTTGAAGAAGGTGTACAATCTTTCATCTTATTTCGAACGAACCGTTTTTATTACGGCTAAGAATCAAGGTAAAAGAAATAGCTAAAAGAAAAGACCATATTCCGGGCGTCCCTGTTTGTGTAAATTATTTATTATTTAAATAGTTCTATTATGTAGTATAGAAAAATAAATGCCTTGAACTACTTTGCGTGAGCGTTCTAGTAAAAAATATTGGCGTTTTTAGTTATACTAGTTGATAGTTTCAACTACTGGAATAACATCAAAAAAAGTATTTTTTGTAAATTTGAAACTGTACGTTCTGCTGCACGTACCAATTTAAAAAGGAAATTATAAGATAGTAGACAATTGAGAGATAAATTCTACAAATCGTTAAGAAACTAGCATTCCGTTTACCAAATTACATTTCTCTGTGAAATATTTCGCTGAGAAATGTTGAAGGAAGATTGACTATTAAAAATTGCACTGTTACTGATATTTAGAAAATTGTGTATAAGATCTTTTAAAAAAATCCGTTTTTCTTAATTTATCTTCATCATCAACACTTACAATAATCTTCGAACTTCGTAAATAAATGGAACCTCTATTAATAAATTGTAGACCTTAACAAACTTCACCTATAAAATGCTTTCAAGAACTAATATTTAAATTTGTTATTTATATGAATTTAAATTATCTAAGTATGACAGGTTGTAGGTAGATAAAATATTAATTATTACAATTAAATTTAATTATAACGTATTTAAAATAAATACATTAACCTACATTTTCGTAAAGCACACATGCTTCAGTGTTTAATTACACAATTAGTTTAATAATGATGTGCTTCGTGGAAATGTCTAAAATAAAAATACTGGCTACGATATACATATTGCCTAAAAGAGTGTATCTTGTAAATGTTGAATTTAATTATATATCTTTCATATTTAAATGAAAACTACGATATTTTAAAATTCGCTAATTTGGATATCTGTTTTTAACTCAAACGTATTTAAAAAAATTTTAAACCTGGATGATGAAAGCTGATTGCAAGTTAATGAATGCTAATTAATTATTTCACAATAGAAACAATATGTTATACGAAAATATACGTATTAAAGTTCTCCAAATTTGGAATTCAAACACATCAGAAAACAGAATCATACATCCTCCTTCTTAAGTGATTGAAAATATGAGCTCCTTTTATCTATTAATAATATTCGGTAGATGGACCTGTGTAAACTGAACTCTGAAATGTTCAATCATGAATATCTATACATAATTTTGATGTTTACATGAAGATATTAATTGGACGAAATGATACTTCCTCCATTCTCGAGTCAAATAATTCTGCAAACTTTTTCAGAACAATCTGTAACTCTACAAGGTGTCTATTTGTTGAAATAATTAACATTATTAATATTTAATAGTGTATCTATGTGTTTTAAAAGATACCGATTGAATGGAATACCAATTTTGATAATGATCGTACGGAATATATGTCAAGGTTCTATCTTATCTATATTTGAAATTTTTTTTCTCACGAGTAAAATAATTAATAGATCTTACGTGTAAAAATAAGTGGGGTTGCAATATTTCATTAATTATCGATATTTTGAAACGGAGATCATGTTCCGAATAGGTTAAGTTTTGTTTTAATTATCTTAAGAGACAATTTGCAAGATCATACTGATATCAATGTGGTTTCACGTCACATAATGATAACAAATATATGTACATAATGATAACAGATATATCATACAGATTAATTGTAAATCTTCATGTATTCACTTGCTCATCACAAAGTTTGCAAAATAGTTTCATAATGTAACAGATTAAGTGTTATCGTACGTGCTGTTATTATGATAGTCATACATCGTTAATTATATTAGCTTTTATGAGTCTTATTTTATATGAAATTGTAGGTAGGTACTGTCTTGATCAAATAATTCAGCAAAATATAGTAATAAATAATAATATAGATATTATTTATAGTAATAAATAATAATATAGATATTATTTATAGTAATAAATAATAATATAGATATTATTTATAGTAATAAATAATAATATAGATATTATTTATAGTAATAAATAATAATATAGAGATTACTTTTTAAAGCCACTTTATTAATACAATTTTTTAAATTGATAAAACATTCACAAAAGTTCAAGTCCCCATATAAAGGAATTGAAGTTACGTTTTCTTACAGAAGACACTCGTGTAAATTGTTTACACAGTTGTGATTGAATACAATTACCCAAATTCTAAGATAAAAATTTCATTACAAATTCTATTCGGAGCAAATTATTTTACTGATTTTTTATATCTGAACCCAGATTTCTATTTTTCTTATGCACAGTATATATTTCACACAAATATTTTTACAGGCACCATATCTATCATGTAAAAACAGAATAATTGAATATTCATAAATACTCTAATAGAAATTATATACTTTGTTTAACTGTAACTGTAATGTTTTAAATATTAATGAGTATTAAAAAATTATAATAACACCATAAAATTGTATTATTTTGTTACAGAGAATTTTCAAAGTCTTCCACCAGAGGCAATACCGGCGTTCCTCCAAAATTTACAGAATTCAGCGAGCTATAACATAGCGAAACCTATCGCAAGACCAGCAGCTTATCATCCTTACCACAGGCCGAGTCATCAGCCACCTCAGCGTCATTTACCTCCCAATGCACATCATACACTTCAACAATTGTTCTATAGAGGACCTTATCTAACTGGTAAGACCTAAATAGTTATTTATTATAACTCTATATAGCATATATTTATATAGTTATTTAAGGGTTTTGAATCAAATTATAAGATTTCAATCTCTAACATGAATAACATTTCCGTCACAAATCATCTTATATATAATCAACCTCCCATAAGTAGACTTTATTTGCTTCAGAATACAATTACATAACAAAAAAAGTCAAATCTCATCCTAAAATACAGATAAATTAACTTGTGTTCTATTATTGACAGGCTAAACGACGATTAACAATTTGTATATAAAGAGTTGATCCTATACTTTCTAAAACTCACAATCAAGAGTTAAAGCAATATTATAGAAGTATGAAAAGGTTACTAACTAATCAACTTCACCTTACATTTCAAATTTATCAAACTTCCCCATGTATAAATAAATATTCTCTTCAATTCTAATTCTCATAGAATAATATATTAGCTACCGAGAAAGTTCGTGGGGGTTCTTAAATCAAAATTTAAACAAAAAAACGTTTCTGTCAAATATTTCTTTTCATTTCATACTAACGGCATAAACATAACTTGCTGCTAATTTCATTCATTAAACTAGTAAAATACTGATTGAAATCGAACCTCACTTAATAAATAACAAGAAATCCACACGAACTTTCCCGGCACCTAACATAAATAAAATCGTTTCACCTGATCCGTTACGATTACCATTTCATTCGATAATGAGAAATATAATATTCATAAATACCCAATAGAGGAGAAATAATCTGTGTTTAATCGTCCGTACGAATTTCATGGTGAACACGCGTTAAAGTGAATATAAAACGAGCGGCGGCGAGAGAAGGACAGGGTAGAGAGGCGGGTGATTTTCGTGAAAATGTTCGTCATTAATATTTCGAGCCCGGGACCAGAGGGAAAAGTTAATAAACAAGCGGGGCCGGTAGGCGGAAACACGGTCTCGATGAACATTTAAAACCGAAACTTCCGCACATGGCGCCAAACCGTATAAACGCGGGCACGTGCACGGAGGGCACCGGTTTATCGAATATCTTGTTATAGGTAGGCTCGTACGGGACATGGAGTGCATATGAAGTACAGTGAAAGCACTACCATATTATGTACATGCACCGCCACAAGCAAAATGCACGCATGCAACAAGTGCGTGCAAATATCATCGGCGCAGATAATACCGTCATGCTCAGCTTGGCAATATCGCGCAGATACGATCTACAGATTCAATTGCCCGTTCGTTATTAGATGACTTTGATTCAATTACCGACCGCGTGCCGACTCTTTGATATACGACCAATAAATTTTGCCTGTTTGCATTTGTTTTTTTTGCATTGAGCACGACCCATTTTTTTCCCACTGAGTGGCTCCCATTAATTCGAGTGTCCTCGAACCTACGCATTCTTCACGGTATAAAATTATTTTTTTTTTTGAACTGGAAATGTTTGCGAAATTTTTGGAGAAACCGAACGAATTCGAGAAATGGATTGATGAATTGGTAGACGAGCGGATGAATGTATTTGTTGAGTGTTGATTGTGTTGATTTATAAACATGACTGTGCAGATTGTTCTTCGGTGTTGGGGAAAATTGAACGAATTTAAGGAATTAATTAACGGGTTGAGAAATTAACGGGTGAATGTATTTGTTTGAAGTTGATTGCATTGATTTGTAAATGTGATTGGGTAACTTTTTATTTTAATAATGGTGTAAGAAGAATATGGAGATGATTTTAAATAGTACTGTGTACGTTCTTTTTGAGTTTTAAGAAAATAATTCCTACGTTCTTCGAATATAGTGTTCATCAAATAAACCTTATCAGCTGGGAAGCTAATTTCAGCGAAACTGTGGTCGATATGACAGTCATAGTTACATGAATATTTTCGTTTGAGTGCTGCAATATCTGTGAATTGTCCACATTAACTTTGCTCTTGAATAGTTCTATTACAAATTGAGTGTCGTCGAATGTGGTAATTTTGATAGCTATTTGATGCGTTTAATGGTACTATGACAGCATTAATCGCCAGGGAAACATGTTTTACTGAATGTTGGTGATTGTTCTGGTTACATTTGCCATTTATTAATAAGAACCTAACTTTTAACTTAACTGTTATTACGAAGTCTATGATTCTTAAAACTTATTTACATAAATTTATATTTATTTATGAGAAAATATGTACTTCGGAACTTCCTATGTACAATGGCAAGGTTCAGTCTAAAATTTCAAAAGCTGACTTATAAAGAGTGTATGAGCCCTTGGAAACTACAGTAACCTAAGCCCAAAAATGTTATTTCAAATAACAACTACCTACAATTCAAGTAATTGTATATTGTCCTTTAATAAATGTACAATACATTAGAAATACCTATGTATATATCAAATATGGAAAGTAAATCTTCCAAACACTGTCAGACGAAGAATTTCATCTTGTACTTTGTTATCGCAGAAAAGTAATTTTATAATTTCTTTATTATTTACCTTAATTATATACTTAATGTATTATATAAATTCTTATATAATTTATTATGTGATTTCCTATATAATTCATTACATAAATTTTAATAGTATAACAATAACTATAAATAATATAAATCACTATATAAATTTAATTGTATGAGTACACATAATTAATTTTATACCTCGTATAACGTCCATGATCTCAATAACTTTTGTGTGGAATCATCAGTTGCTGGCTCCGGAACCGGAGGTCATCATCCAGGTGCTCCGGGAGGCGGAACAGCGTTCCCAGGTGCGATCCAAGGTGGTCTAGGTGACTTCGCCGGCACAGGCCTGGTGTTTCCATGGGCGACAAACGCGCGAGGCAAACCTCGCAGAGGGATGATGCGAAGGGCAGTTTTCTCTGATCTTCAAAGGCGTGGCCTTGAGAAGAGGTTTCAGATACAAAAGTACATTAGCAAGCCGGACCGTAAGAAACTCGCCGAGAAACTCGGTCTCAAGGATTCTCAGGTAAGAGATACTATTTTTTCTTCAAATAAACAACGATATTTCTCTTCTTCATGATGTTTCAATAAGAGTGATGAATCTTTCATAATAAAAGGAAAGATGAAACATGTAAGATATGCTAGAAATATTTATTTCACATACAAAGTCAGTTTTGTAGTATTTTGAATAAAACATACGTGCGTTTAAATAATCATTTTATTTGCATAATTTGTGCTCGATACATCTGACAAAAAGTGTTTAATCAAAATCGTGACTGTAATCGTTGAAAAAATTATATGCTTGCATATTAAAAATAAAAGATAGTATTGTAGTGTGATTAATATGTAGTTGTTTCCAAATAAATGCTATTTGGAAATTTATCACTCATTTAAATGCTTTTACACACTAGCCGGAAAATACTTTAATATTGATTGATTTGTTAACTTGTTTCGTTAACCAGTAATAATGTTAACAAACAGGAAGGTACTTTTATCATAATTTTACTTGTCTTCAACGATTACATGGAAATGTTGATCAATATTAAGAACGTGATTTCGAAGAAAGAACAACTCGTTACAACGGTTATACGAGATAATGGTATCGAACACGTCATATTCAAGTAATCTTTCATGTATTACAATGCCTGTAGCGTGTTACGGTCAAGCAGTCAAGAGTTAAATGATCTTAACAGCACATTAACTTCTAATTTAGCCAAGCGGCATGCTTCTTTGCCATCAAACTTCAGATTTAGTAATTATCAGCAAATTGTATCGCTAATTTATTCATAGGTTCGTTCAGGGTGTCAACCCTTTACAATTCGAATTATTTTAAATGATTTATAACATTTTTCAATACGACAAATCAACGTAAATATTTAAATCGAGTTTGTTTTATTACATATTGATGAGTTTGTTTAACATTAACAGAATAAATTAATGATCTGAACAAAATCTGATTTTCAGATTTCTAATTTAAAAATTTTTTTTCAATTCGTCTTTTATGGTACATTTTTCGAAAACGTTCCTATTCTGTCTTATGAAACTATCAATTTTTGTCGAATTCAAAGACAATAACGCTGATAACACTTATTGATGACAAACACATTCAAACTTTTTCTTTCTTGTGAGATTTTTTCGACTTAATTTCTATTTAATTAACACCGTGAATTATATCACTTGATTCACGATAATAGCCTTGCATAATCGGGGAATTAATTCGTGAGAGGCGGGAGAGAAGGTCGCCGCAGAATATATGGTGCTTAATGACCTTATTAGGGCACTAATTGTCGCTTTAACGAAGTATGAAACCCTCTGTTCCCAACGGAGAGCATTTAATTAACCAACGGAGCTGCTGCTCTCTCATGATTCCATTCAACGGATTGATAGAGACTAATGCTCGGGACTTGAATGAACCGGCGGCAACTGAATATAGCGAAGACCGGATTAGTGCAACGTATCAAATGGAGGAACATTGAACCGACAAGTCTATCGTTTTTATTCATTCGAGTGGGTTCGATTGATTAATCGGGCGAGTGAATTGTATTAATGATTTAGTGCTTGGTTATCTCAAACGGATCAATACGAACTGATTAGTGTGTGTACTCAAGTGACGTCCGCAGATTTTTATAACACTTTGATAGAAGGTAATTCCTACAAAAATATTTTAAACATTTTTTTCCTGTCGTTATTCAAACGAAAACAGCGAAAACAGTTTGTAAAAGAGCTTTGGGAATGAGAAGTGTATTTAGTTGAATTTCTTGAAAAATGCTGGATTTAGAAGAATGTCGTAAATTGCAAAATTGGTTATTTATCAGGAACTCAATTGTATGAGTGAATTTCAGAAAAATTAATTTGTTTGAATAACATATTAAAAAATAACACTTTCTTGTTCACTTTTCTTGGAAAATGTAAATCATTTTATGTAAATTCGTATGTTGAATGCATATATTAGATCAGAGATCTTTTCTTCCTATTTCAGGAAATTTGATTCTCCAATAAAAAGAACGTAACATACCAGTATATGATTGCTACTATTGTTTGAAGAGAATTAGCAAAAAGATGGCTGGTGGGGGTTTGCTAGTAAAAGTCTGCGTTAATCCGAACCTCGCCATTGCTTCAAGTTTCTATCGAAATGAGTTCGCACTTTTCGAAGTCATTATCTACTTTAACTGAAGTAATTAAAAAGTCGTTCCCGAAGTTGTTACGATTCTCCGACAACCGTAACGCGTTTATAACGTCGGTATTCTACAAGCATTCAAACAATAACTCTTAAGTAATGAGCGCGATCTTGGTTCATTCTGAAAAGATGTTCCCTCGCCATTGATCCCTTATTTCGTTATTTGAAATCATTTTATTTGTAATTATTGCTTCCACTAGGACAATCCATGAAATTTCCTTATTTTGTTTTTTACGAAAGTATCGAAAGATATTCCTAAACAAAATGATAAAAATATGATATAAATGAATATATATTTATGGAATATAAGTATAATTCACAATACAACATATATCGTAATAAAGTTTTATAAAATTTCTGAATTCTTTAAGGTTCAATGAAACGTTCAACCAGTTAAATACTGTATATTTGATACTCACCTGTAATACTTTGCCTTTAAATATAGAATTTTGTATAAATCTCCATGTACATTCAAAAACGTCTTTAATAATATTTGTCATTATTTTATAATATTCTGTATGAATTGAATCAAATGAAACATCATTTTATCAACTGAAAGAGTAGAAATATGCACTCTACTTAAGATGAGGTGCCATTTTATTAAGAAATGAATGACTTATTAATCTACGTAAGAAATAGCTAAAAACTTCGATCAAAGAACAAATATTCATTTATAACTTTAACATATTCAAATAGTCATTCATTTTCCCCTAGTTTATTATATTACACATTCAAGCTAATAAATATTATAGTATTTACGTAAAACCACAAAGATGTGAAGAACAAAAACAAAATTTCAAGTTAGTACTATGATCAGATTTTGATTTTGATAAGAAATATTTTCCTTCGTCATTTTGAACTAACTCTATCTCATTCTACCAACAATTGAAAATTTACTATCAGCGATAAAGATCACTTCACATCTCATTATTTTCATAGTTATTTCCCTTTTATTCTTCCTAATCTGCTGTCAGTTTGCAGGCAAAAAGGCTGAACGGGCTCGGCCACAAGAGATATCATCGTATCGCGTCGACGTAGGTACATAGGAGAGAAAGAGCCGTGGCGTAGGTGTACATGGAGTTAGAAGCATATAATACCCCCGGTTTGAGGTTAATCGGACGATGCCAGTTCATTAGCTGCACACGTGTACTCACACGGTCGCGCGTGTATACACGGACGTCCCGACGCCGTCGCTAGCAGACCGGCTCCGCTGCGGCGACGTTAATGAAACTAAACGATGCCCAGAAAATGGCACTGTAAGTTAGTTTCATTTGATTTCATGAGCGTAGTTTGCCGATTCTGCCGAATTCCACGCGGAAATGTTTTCGCCAATTGCACCGAAAAATGGATTAGCTGTATCAACGGCTAATTCACTGGTTCCTTGTGAATTTGATCCTTTTCAGGTATACGTTCATTGTTATTGGAACGATTTCAAGTGTTATAGAATTAGAATATAACTGAGTTTGTAGTCAGACTGTGTAATCTAATGATATTTATTTAATTTTCGTTTAAATAGTGCTTCATCAACGTGGCTATTCTTTTCTTTGATTATTGTTTCACAAGATTGGCTGTATTTGTTGCAAAATATGCCCTCGTTTGAAGGTTTCGTAGATGTTCAGTTTCAATTCGGGATGATATTCTGCTTTTTTCAGAGACGAAGAAAAATCGTATGAATATAGGGAATCAATTTCTTTAGAAAATATTTTTTTCTGGAAAGTATTATAAGCAGAAGTCATAGTTCACCTCCCCTTTCTGCAAAATTATAAAACATTATCAGTTATCAACGAAAACTTCTTCACTTGACCACTGGTCGATTAATCCCTTGTTTCATAACAACGTGTCAGATTCATGGTGGATATTTAAACAAAAATTTAACAAGGATAATATTATCCTTCTGTTATCAATAATTATATTTCAGAGAAAATAGACATGGAATATTTCTAGAATTTTTCTGTTTTTCCAATTTTTATTAATGGCAAAGTAGTTGTATCAAGCATAGTTGAGAAATAAATCATAAAACAAGGAGTTAAACGTCAACTAAAACCATTCCCACGATGGCCACCTTATCACCCAAATTAAATAATCGCACCTATAACTTCTGTTTTTCCAACAAATTATTAATAACAAAATACTTATATCTATCACAGTTAAAAAATAAAAGACAGAGCAACTGATTAAACGTTAACTGAAACCACTCCCGCGAAGGCCACCTTATCACCCAAAAAAGAAAAATAATAGGAACCCATTCCCTTCCTCGTATCCTTCGCCCGGGAAGCATATTCCCTCTGTGTATTCCGGTCGCGCGGACGAACACGATGATACATTTTGCATACCCACGAGCATATGGTCGTATGCAGATGAGGCGCAAATAAGGGTAAGAGATAACCATTGGTTAGCAAAGGGTCGAATAGAGGGAGATCAGGCCGGGTAAACGTCGAGGTTGGGCTGTGACGACGGGGCACGGGGGTAAGGGTATAGAAGGATATATTCTCATGTATAATTCACACCTCGAGCGCCATGACTCTGCCGCCATTGGCGGAGGCCCACTCCGGCCGGTGGTTTTACGAGAAAATCTAAGGACCGCCGCGTACATAGAGAGAGGAGACGCCGCACACGAACGTACACAACGAGTGCGCCTAGGACCAACCGCGGGGTACTTTTGAGTTCGCGAGTAAATTGACGATCCTTGCGAATCCGCCATCCGCATACAAAAGATTCCTCCCTCTTTCACGGCTACTTCTTCCCGCCCTCCCCCGATCCCACCCCCGCCCACTACCGCCGTCTCTTTCCGGTTCCTTCGTGGAACAATCGGTAGTGAGGTATATACCGCCATGAGAGTTCAAGGAGCT